CGTAGATTGAACTCCCCAGCGCCTGGTGGAAGCATCCACACACCCTCAGAGAAATACTGCTTGAAGCTTGCCATCTTCAGCACTTCACCAACCTGCGCCATGCAACGGTCGGTGTTCCGGTTGGTCAAGAAAACCCAAGTCCTTGGCAGGCAACCCAACAGAATCATTCCACTGAAAACTCCTGGACATGCAGACAAGATGCAGCTGCACTCCGTCGTAGCGCTCGGCCAAAGTCTTGACCAGATCCACAGTGATCTTCCCCGTGAAGAAGATAACAGAGCCATTGGGCACAGAAGCTGCCGGATCGATGTTCCACGTCGCCTCGATCTCGCGCTGGCAGAAGAACTGGTTCGTGACCTCGACGTAATATCTTGCTCGCTGCTCAAGAAGACTCGTGCATGGAACTCCAGGCTGGAGGCAGAGTGGCCATCCCGAGCAAGACAGCGCAAGAAGAGGATCAAGGCCACCCGGGTGGATCGAGATGATCCTTTTGTCCTGGCCAAAGCAATCATGTGGACGACTCTACAATGACAATGATTGCAGACACAGCCCAGCCTGCAGCACAGCTTTGTACTTCTCAATGAGAGCAAGGTGAGCTTTGTAGAGAGTAGTCATGCCACCACCACAGGCCCAGCACAGGCAACTCCAAAATCACTGAGCAAAATCTTCACAGGTTTCGGCGTGAGCTCGACAACATGTGGTTACTAGAGCTGCAAGCTGCACCGTCTTGGGGCACACGCGCACACACAAGCACGAGCTTTGACCGAGCAGGCACCGCCACTGTGGCATTGCGCTTGTCAAAACCTCAGCCCTCAAAAGTCAGGCTGCTGGGTCCACTGTCACCGACAGGCAACACGATGACGATAACTGTAAGAACGAATTATTGACAGGATTCGCACTCAAAACTGGACCTCAGACCCAACAAGGCGACCCGACATCGTCGCTAAGTAAGCTTCACCCAGCTGGCCACATTGCGATGCAAACACACTCAGCTGAAAGAATCGGATGACGACGACGAGGAGCTCTTGCGCTTCCGTTTGTTCTTGCTCTCTTTCTTCTCATCATTCTCTTGCTTGGTCTTGTCCTGGCCAGCCACATCTTGGCTCGCTGCACTCTCGGCCGGGCCAGGGCTTTCCATCTGCAATCCTTCTCCAAGAACCAATGTAGTGGCATCAGAGGGCGCCTCCGAACCAGTAAGGCTTCTTGACTTCGACAAGAAGCGACTGGTGAAGAACCCGTCCTTCTTCTGGAGGATGAGCTCACGCACCACCTTCAAAATCAGGATCTGTGACACAACGGACTTGTGCAACTCAGAGAACACGTAGCCCTGGTACTTCATGTGCGTCCGCGCCGCTGCCAGGGCGAGCATGCCCGTCCCCATGCAAAAGTCGATCACCCTCGTGCACGCATTTGGTGCGAACAAGTTCAGCCACTCACGAGCATGGGCCTCGGGCGCCTCCAGCGGCA